TACTGGTGGAAATGCAGATGGTACAGCCTATTGGGTTTTTTTGGTTTGGGTTTTGTTGGGTTTTTGGGTTTTTTTGAGACAGAGCCTTGCTTTATTGACTAGGCTAGAGTTCTGCCCTCTGGGTTCAAGCAATTCTCCTGGCTCAGCCTCCGTAGTAGCTGGAATTACAGGCGTGTGCTACTACACCCGGCAACTTTTTGTATTTTTTGCAGAGACAAGGTTTCACCATGTTGGTCAGGCCGGTCTCAAACTCCTAACCTCAAGTGATCTTCCAGCCTAGGAATCCCAAAGTGCTGGGATTACAGGCGTGAGCCACCATGACCGGCAAGAATGTATTACTTCTGTAATTTAAAAAATAATATTAATAAAATAAAGATCTACACAATGTTGCAGATCTGTCTAGTGATGCGCAAACGTTTCTGGAAATAGTCGCCCTTTTGATCAGAGTGTAATTCTGTCCAATTTCTTTCCCCATCCACCAGAGGATATCACCTTTCTTCCTCTCTCCCTCTTGCAGAGACTGCCCCCTGCTGCGGGTGTTGGCTGGTGAAGTTGTTGGTGAGGAGGCAGAGGGCTCTTTGCCCTGGATTGTCTCACGGCTCTTGGAAGGAAACAACTACAGTGGCCTGCTTCTTCGTCTGGACCCTCAAGGTGGCCAGGGGAGAGTGTGGGGTTCTTTGGGAAGCTCTGAGATCTGTCCTTGGGCCTGCCTCTCCCATCACCCAACGAGCCTCAGCCCCAACCCCAGCCCAGAGAGAGAGCCTGACCCTTCAAGAGGGCCTCAGAGTGCCTAGGCTGACAAACTGGAAAGGCAAAGCAAGGTCAATAGTGAAAGCAACTCCTCACTCTTCAGAGACCTTACACCACTTACCAAGCATTTTTGCACAAATGCCTTTGATTCTTACCACAACCCCATAAGGCACATATAATTTACAAATGAGGAAAGAGAGGCAGGCCTAATTTATAGATGAGGAGAGAGAGGATAAGAGAAAGGAAGGGACTCTCCTATTTTCACACACTCATTAAAAATCAAGCCTTAGCTGAGCACAGTGGCTCATGTCTGCCTGCAATCCCAGTATTTTGGGAGGCTGAGGCAGGTGGATCACTTGAGGTCAGGAGTTGGAGACCAGCCTGGCCAACATGGTGAAACCCTGTCTCTTACTAAAAATACAAAAATTGGCTGGGCATGGTGGTAGGCACCTGTAGTCCCAGCTACTTGGGAGGCTGAGGCAGAAGAATTGCTTGAACCTGGGAGGCAGAGGTTGCAGTGAGCTGAGATCATGCCACTGTACTCCAGCCTGGGTGACAGAGCAAGACTTCATCTCAATAAATAAATAAATAAATCAAGCCTCTGTGTTCTTAATGTAGATGCTAGAGAAAGAAAAGAAAAAAAAATCAACCCTCTGAAATGTTGCGATGTCAGGGATTTGGGGGAGGTTATGGTGGGGGTATTGATCAACAGAAATGGCATGAGTTGATAGCTGTCAAAATGGGGTGACAGGTAGATGGCATTTCCTATACTTTGTATATGTTTGAAATTTTCCATAACAAAAGAGTAAAAATATGCCTGGCTCTCGTCTCCAAAATCAACAAACACACATTCATTTGGCTAGTAAGTTCCCAGACCTTCCCCTGTGCTAGGCCTCTTGGAAAGAGGAACATACGTTAGAGTAGTTCACGCCCACAAGGATAAAGCAGTGAGGGCCAGACGTGTTTATCTTCAGGCCAGTTTGGTATCATGATGAAGGGCATGGGCTTGAGTTCCGGTTCTGCCACTTGCCAAGAAGTGGCTTGACCTCTTTGAGCTTCCATTGCCTCATCTGGAAAATGTCCGGGGAGCCAGGATAGATTAGACCTTTAGTCTGATTGGAGCGTTGTGTGGATAAAAGAGGCAATCCATGAACAGCCTGAGTGAAGTGTCATCAAACACATGTAAAAGCCTGGTGGGGGTTAGATTTTATCAATAGTTCTACTAATAAAAACTAAAAGTATTATAGGCAGTGTGCTTTGGAATCCACAAGAAGGCATAATTCACTTGGAGTGTCCCCTTACTAGGTAGCTCCCTGAGTTTGCTCCAGGCTGCTCTGTTGGGGGCCTCAGGAAGAAGGATGCAGGTGAAACAGGTGAAGCCCACCCTGTGGGATGCAGTAGAAGAGGCTCAGGCCTGCCGGGCTGGCCTGAGGTCCCTGCGTTTAGGCCTCCTTGGGGACATCCTGACAGACAGTGGGCTAAGCCAGCTGGGCAGGGCACTGCGGGAGCTACAGGTAAGCAAGGTGAGGCCCGAGGGTACCTGGGCCAGCCATGGCCAGTGCCTACCTTGAACGCTTTCTCCATAGGTGGTAAAAGCGTGAAGCCAATGCCCAAAAAGCCAGATGCTCAAAGGAGCCAGAACTGAGGCGGTGGAGCTTCCAGAACCACAGGTATGTCTTCGCATTCACGCTTTTAGGAACCTCGTTTGTGTCTGCCTTCCTGTCGTCTTTCCAGAGCACTTTGAGGAAGACCTCCATCCATTCATTGACTTATTGATTCCCAAACAGTTATTGACCACCGACTGTGTGCTGGGCACAGTGCCACATAGGCCCTGGGAATTCCCTGTCCTCATGGAGCTTATATTCTCCTGGGAAGAAACAATTACACCACCATAATCGGTGCTCTGACAGGCTTATAAACGCAGAATTCTATGGGGCATCTAAGTTAGCCTTGGCAAGAGAGAGAAGGAAGACTTCATGGAGGAAGCAATCCCTGAAGGAGGTCAATAAAGTTGAGTAAAGAACATTGCAGGCAGAGAGAATGACAGGCAAAGACTCAGAGGCAAGGAAGTGCTTGGTGCCCTTGGGGAAGTGCAAGCAGCTGATTTATTGGAGAATAAAACTTGAGGAAGAGTCAGGAGGGAAGGACTGGAGAGGGGAAAGATAACACTGTGCCCACTTTTCAGATGAGCAAACTGAGGCTTCAAGAAAAGATATGAGGCCAGGCACAGTGGCTCATGTCTGTAATCCCAGCACTTTGGGAGGCCGAGGTGAGCAGATCACCTGAGGTCAGGAATTCAAGACCAGCCTGGCCAACATGGAGAAATCCCGTCTCTACAAAACTACAAAAATTATCCCTTTGTGGTGGCACACGCTTGTAGTCCCAGCTACTCAGGAGGCTGAGGCAGGAGAGTAGCTTGAACTTGGGAGGTGGAGATTGCGGTCAACTGAGACTGTGCCATTGCACTCCAGCCTGGGCAACAAGAGTGAAACTCCATCTGAAAAAAGGAAAAGAGAAGAAAAGAAAAGGAAAGATGTGAGAGGGCTGGGTACGGTTTAATCATGCCTGTAATCCCAGCACTTTGGGAGGCCGAGGTGGGCAGATCACCTGAAGCCAGGAGTTCAAGACTAGCCTGGCCAACATGGTGAAACCCCATCTCTACTCAAAAACACAAAAATTAGCCAGACACGGTGGTGCATGCCTGTAATCCCAGCTACTCAGGAGGCTGAGGCAGGAGAATCACTCGAACCCAGGAGGCGGAGGTTGCCGTGAGCTGAGATCGCACCACTACACTCCAGCCTGGGTGATACAGTGAGACTCTGCCATAAAAAAGAAAAAGAAAAGATGTAAGACCAATGAGCCTGGGTCACAGGCGTAATCAGAGGCAGCAGAACTACAATCCCACTCAAGTCCTTAGACTCCTAATCTAGTCCTCTTTCATCTCCTTAGGCTGCATGGCCTTTCTGCTCTTCCATGATTTATCACAGGGTGGCTGAAACCCTGCCCCTGTCCAGCCTCTCCTGGTCTTTCTCTTTTTTTTTCATAATTGCTTACAACTTGTTTTTACAGCCTTAGGCCTTGGGAGTCAGGCATGGTAGCCCCCATTTACTGAGCAAGTGCTTACTGCTCAGTGCTCTCGGTGCAGCACTTCATTTCATGCTGTCTACAACTTTTATCAGCTCAATTTGATAGAGAAGAACATGGAGACTAGGCTGATCACCTGCTCCAGGTCATACAGCTAAGAAGAGAAGGGACTGGGACCTGTGATCTGTGTGATTTTCAAGCCCTGATCTTTTTTTTTTTTTTTTTTTTTTTTTGAGACGGAGTTTCACTCATGTTACCCAGGTTGGAGTGCAATGGCGCGATCTCGGCTCACCGCAACCTCCGCCTCCTGGGTTCAGGCAATTCTCCTGCCTCAGCCTCCTGAGTAGCTGGGATTACAGGCACGCACCACCATGCCCAGCTCATTTTTGTATTTTTAGTAGAGACGGGGTTTCACCATGTTGACCAGGATGGTCTCGATCTCTTGACCTCGTGATCCACCTGCCTCGGCCTCCCAAAGCGCTGGGATTACAGGCTTGAGCCACCGCGCCCGGCCTCAAGCCCTGATCTTAACCTACGCTGTCCTGGGAGGAACGGTGTGGAACTGTCACTCCCAATATCTTCTCTGCAGGTGACAGATTCACCAGGAAGCCAGAGCCTATGCCTCGAGGGAGAGTCCCAGGGTGGGTCTGGGACTTGGGGGTGAGCTGGGAGTGGGACGTCTCCTCCGCCTTTAGTGTGATTAATTAAATTTTCCTCTAGTGGCAGGAACAATGGCATCCCTAAGGCATGAGCTCCACCGAAAGAATCCCCTCGAGCACCCTAAGGAACAGGTAATACCTCATGTACCCCAGGAAGAACTGGAAGCCGTAGGGGGAGTGAAGAGCTACAGAGCCCAGCTAATGTGTCCCTGCTTACCCTGCCCCCATGTCAGGGAGAAATATGAAGCTTTTGACAAATAAAGGACCTGAGGGTGACTGGACCCCTAAAGGAGGGCCATGGGGAGGGGCTGTTTTCCTGTTGATTAGATGAAGGGTACAGGATCCTGAGGACCACTATGGCACCTCTTGGCAGAGCCACTACCTTCCCCTCCCCACCATGGCCTCCTGAGTCTCTGCCCAGGCTACAGGCTCTTCCAGGTCAATTAGGTCCTGGATGTTCTGGGAGCAGCTCTGGTGATAAAGTTCTATTGGAAAAGCTGGGCCCTGGTCCTAAAGTTGTGCACGCACATGGACTTCTGACCGAGCCCAGCAGGTACCAGATGTGGCCCTGCAGTTCTTCTTGGCCCAGGCCCGGAGGCAGACTGAGGGAGCAGCACCAAATTTGGATTCGAGAGAAGCTGAAGCATTTGGAACATAAGGAGGAGGTGGCAGATGACCAGGTCAAAGGCCTGGTGGCTGAAGAGAAGGTGAGGAGGGTCAACTAAGGGTTTGAGGTTCTAATTGGTCCAGGTACTGTGCTAGGGGCTGGGAATCCATCATCAGTCACAACCAACTGGTTCATACCCTCTCTTATGGCCCTCACAGCCTTGTCAGGGATAGATGAGGCAATTATCAGTGCTAAGTGATGGGATGGGGTAGCTAGGGGCTTGTGGGACCAAAAAGGCATATGTGACCCAGGCTGGAGTGGATCAGAGGATATGGCATCTAAGCTGAGCCTTAAAGAACAGGCAGAAATCAGCCAGGAGAATTCACTGGACACTGAGCTTCACAAGGGCAGTTACTGCTCATCACATCAAGGCACTCATAGATACAACTTATTTGAACAAATTAAGAAACATAACATGGATATGTGGTGGGGTTGCGTGGAGTCGGGACATGTTCTCAGAGAAGACAAAACAGTATGAGCAAAGGTTCAGAGGGAAGCAATGGCAAAGTGGGTCTGGGAACTGCAAATTCTCCATTCTGGCTGGAGCTGAACAGGTGTGTAGTCAGAAGCACGGCTAAAGAAAGTGTGTGCCACAGCTCTGGCTTTAGACTTTACCCCAAGGATAGTTGCAAACCATTGAAAGGCATGTGCCATGTCAGCTCTGACCTTCACTAGCCATGAGAATTTGGGCAAATTAGGTCACTTCTCTGATTCACTGTTGCCAAATCTGTAAGATGGCAAAGCCACACATGGTTGTTATTAGATAAAATAATACACTTGAAGTATTTAGCACAGAGCCTGGCACATGAGTGGCACTCAGCAAAGAGTATGTGTTATCACTGAAGGCCTGCGAGGAGACGCAGAGATGGCAGCAGGAACAGATGGTGCTGAGATTCCAGCTGCAGGCCCTTCACGAAGAGCGGGACATGGCAGAGCAGGACCTGGCAGCCCTCTATGACCTGCATGTGCAGGCCACCCGAGCTCAGACACACCATGTGCTGCGGGTGAGTGGGGATGGAGGGCAGGCATTGAGCTGGCTACAAGGCTGGCCGAGTGACAGACACCTCTGAATCTGGGCATAGGTATTCCAAGCCTGGCAGGGCCTGTGGGAGAAGCAGGCCATGACCACAGAGCATCGTCACCACAGCCTGCTGGCTGGCATCCTGGAAGATACCATCAACCTGGCCACACAGAATCAGGAGCTCCAAGCTCAGAACCAGCAGCTTCAGCAGGGTGCAGACTAGGCTGGGGGCAGTCATGCTGGACCTCTGCCCTGGGGAGAAATCTGATCAGGAACACTTTAGAGGAGGCTTCCTCTCTCCTAATGTTTGGGCTCATAGAAGGGAGAGAAAGGTGAGACAAAACCAAGCTGATCCTCAGTATGGTTGATTAATAGCATGAACCATGTCTCATTGTTCTAGTCCTTACTAAGTGCCTAATATTAATTTATTTAGCCTCTACAGCTACCACATATAGTAGGTACCACTTGATCCTCATTTCAGGGATAAGGCAACTAAAGCTGGGAGAGGTTAAGCAACTGCCCAAGAACACGCAGCTAAGTGGCAGAGCCAGAATTCAAATTCAAATCTGTCCATAGTCCTACACTGCATAGTAGTGGCTCACAAGCTTCTGTGTGCATCAGGACCACCTAAGGAGCTTCAGAGAAGAAAGAAAAAGATTCCCAAACACTGTTCCCTAAGATTCTGCTTTAATAGGTCTGAGATAGGCCTAGGACCCCCGCCCCCGCCTCTGGCCTTTTTTTTTTAAGAAACTCACCATGTATTCTACCATAGAAGCAGGGTCTGACATTCCCTTGGCCATGATTTTAAGACAGCTGACAGGTAGGAATTGTCTGTGAGGGAGCCGGAGGGAATGAAAACCAAAACCACATCAGCTTCTAGAGTCTAGTTCATCCTGCTGGGCCCAGTACCTTCTGTTCCCAACTCCCTCCGCATTCCCCAGGACTCAAGTTTTGTGCTCCAGGGAAATTTCGAAAGCTCTGTGACACGGAAATGTCTCAGCTCCAAGGAGCTCTGAAAGGAAATAAAGCCACTGGTAACAGCTTGGAGAAAACAATTTTCTTAGTCTAAAATTTACCCCAGAATTAAGCTACTCAGGACCCCAGAGGAACAAAATTGTTTGAGGGGAGTTGTGTGAATAGAAGACACAAGACAATCATGGCTGTGGTTGTAGGAAGCACCCTACAGCCTAGAACACTTTATTAAGACCTTATTGCTTATGCAGTTAGAGACACTGATTGAGCTACAGGTTTCCTGTACCCTGTCCCAGGTCACTCTGTGCAGAGCTTCTCCAGGCTGTTGGGAGCTGGGAGACTGCTAGGCAGGGGCAGGCCCCAGAGTGGGAAGCATGGTACCTCCCAGGAGCCTCAGAGTGGGTAGCGGGATTCATGACGGCCCTCAGGGTGAGCAGAGAGGTCAGGAGTGTAGGCTTAAGCCAGGGCCCAGGGGCTACATTCCCTGAGATGAATCAAGCCCAGCCCTCTCTGGGGTTTCCAGAACAAAGGCTAGGTGTGGGGAGCAGCACTGTGGAGAGGGCAGGAGGCATGTCTCTAGGCATTGCTTGAACTGGGGGAAGATTGTCAGAATGGCTGGGATAATGTTTGTATAATCTGTGGCAACTGCGCCTTCCTGCATGAAAGTGGGAGGTTGAGTATTCTTTATGGAAGAGTCATGCATCAGGGCTAGGCTGGAGTAGCCAGCTCCAGTGGCTCTACTGGGATGACCAAAGTAGGCAAGGAAAGCCACATATTACCCACACCCCACCTTCATCAACCGTGTTCATGCAGGATGAGGCAGTGAGCTGCCCAACAAGGATGGGGTCATTTCTCAGGCCTAGGTATTGATGTTATCTTAATTCTTTAGTCTGGAAGAACTTGGTTGGGGATGGGGAATGGTAAGCACTTCCTTAAGCAAACCCACTCTTCGCGTCTCCTAGGGGTATCTTTTCATCGACCTATCTCCAGAGAATAACCTGGCTGCTCTCACTTCTCCAGCTTTTCCCAAAAGGCACTTGTTACAGGGCTGCTGAGGGGAGGGGGAGGGGGAGGGTCGCCTGGGAGGGGGGTCTGGTGGTGGCACCCAATATACAGGGTCCAGAGTCAGGATGGAAGTAGTCAGGGACTAGCGGCTGCCATAGTACAGGCGCATGGCCAGGCCAATGAGCAATGTGGCCAGGAAAAAGGTGGCTGTGAGCTGCAGCCGCAGCAGGACTGCTGAGAGCACGGCGTTGACCACCAGTGAGCAGGACACCACAAAGAGGCGTGTGATGCTGCTGCCGTGCTTCATGACAGCAGACATGAGCAGTCCATTTAGCGCCTGGCTCAGCACCACGAGTGCTGCCCATCCTGAGAAACCTTCCAGGAGGCCTGGGCCGGGGCCACCGCCAGCATGCAGACCTAGATTCAGGAGCACACCAAAAGTGTAGAGGAAGAGGTTCTGAAGTGCCAGGGGCAGCCGCTGTCGCTTCATGAGCAGCTCTGTGTACACTGAAGACAAGCCCGAGATGAGGCAGTGCAGGATGAGAAGCAGCAGGCCCAGTGGAGTGATATGCAGGGGCATGGGGCTGGCAGCAGCTGCTGGAGGGGGACTGGGAAAGGTGTTCCTAGGAACTTGAAGACCACCTGCTGCATAGCAGGCTCCCGCAGCCATCAGCAGCAGCAGCGCTAACCCCTGACGCACAGAGAGGCGGTGCCGGAGGCAGAGGCAGTAGAGCAGGGCTGTGCTTCCAATCTTGAGATTGCTCAGCACCTGGTAGGTGCTGGGGTCCATGTAACGCTGAAGATAGATCACCAAGTTGTTGTTGGCGCCATAGAGCAGAGCTGATAGTGCGAAGGGAGCAGCCTGGCGCCAGGGTGGGGCCCCCTGGGGCCATGCTTGCCAGCCCACCAGAAGGGAGAAGGCGCATAACAGTAGTTTGGTCAGTTCAGTCAGCAGCACGGCTGAGGAGGGCCGGAAGGGCACACGGCCGTTCACATGGCACAGCGCCAGCAATGGGGCATGGGCACCATACATAGCAGTGGATAGGAGTAGCATCAAGGTCCAGCGGGCCTGCCTGGGACGGCCCAGGCCCTGCATACCCCCATCCTCTACACTCATACCCACACCAGACCCTGGATGGCCAAGGGGCAGCAGGAATTACAACACATTTGGGGAAAATCAAGTTACAAAGCCAGCTCCCTGGAAGGAGGAGCTATGGAACATCGCCAGAGAGAATAAGGATCAGAGTTATCTACCAACTCCGCAGTCAGGGCTTGAAAAGTAAGGAGCTGGTGGCGCTTGAAGCTGCAGTCTTGGGGCCAGTCCCATGGAGTCAGGAAGGGGAAGATGGAATCCAGGGTGCAGTCTGCGGAACTACTGTCCACACTCTGCAGGAGGGGAAGCAAGGATAAAGGTGGCAGGAAAGTTGGAGACAGCAAATGGATGACAACTGGGGAATCCAGATAAAGTGTCTGCACCTGCAGGTCAAGCTGCTCATTCTGCCTCTTCCATGGCACCCAGAGCTAGTCAGGCCCCTTGCGTAGCGACTGCAAATAGTCCCTTAATGTCTTCTCCACATTGGGCACAGCATATGCCTGAGCTGCGTAGATGCCAGCGCAGGTGCCCACAGCAAAACCCAATACTGCTGATGCCCTCAGTTTGGCCACCACATAGCCAGCCAGGAATCCCTTGAGGAATGGGGAGGACAATAGCGAGCCATCCTGCAGAGAAAAATGCAAAAGGAAACTCAGCTAGGCTCTTCCCTGACTCTGTTCAGGGGCTACTCAAGCTGGGATTAGAGCATTCCACCGCTTGCTCCTCTTCACCCTGGACAACCGTGGTATTTTCTCCAGATTTTTCCCAAGGTTCTGGGACCAGAAAAAGAACCTAGCAGTTCTGATCACACAATCTCAGAACGCTGGGGTCAGAAAGCTCCAATCATAGAACTCTACTGCCACACAAGGTCAGAGATGCCCCTAGCCCTGCTGGTTTCTCCAGCCTCATTTCCCAGCATGCTCCCTGACTACTGTGGCCAAGGGGACCTCCTTTCACCCCTCATGTTTATAATGCTACTCCAATCACAATTACATATGCTGTTCTATCTGCCTGGAATGTTCTTTCCTCCCCTCTTCACCTATTTAACCACTGCTTAAGATGTTAGTTCATGTGCCATTCAGAAAAAACTGTCCTTAGGGTGACTGAAAATAGGCCTTCAATAATCATTTGCTGAATAAATCTCTACCATTCATTCAACACTCTCAACAGCGTGTTGGGCAATAAAGCCTACGGCAGGGGAGGAGTGGGACAGTCTTTACCTGGCCCACTCCAGTGTTGACTTCGTCTTCCACGCGTCGCTGCAGGCGTTCCAGCTGGTTCTTGAGAAATGCCAGGTCCTTAAGCTTAGGCAGAGAATCCTAGGACAAGGGAGAGGCTGGCTCCAGCAGTCTGACTCAGCCCCACCCCTTGCTCAATTCCATTAGAAGCTGGGAATTGGGAGGGGATGGGATGAGTCAGAAAGACCTTTTCCTATAAAGGCTTCCTGAGATGGCAGTGGCAAAGGAAGAAAAGCATTGAAAAGCACAGAGTTCAAATCAGGACCAGGAAGGGACTGACAGATGGGATCTGAATCAGTAACTTACATCAACCTCGATAAGAATTTTATATAGCAAGCAGTATGTAGGAAAGGTGGGAAGGACAGCTAGGGGACCTTTAGGTCCATCAGAAAAGCACTACTAATTCCATTATGAGCTCCTTGAAAGTCGTGACGAGTCTGTCTTGGCTACTATGTCCTAGTGCCTGACATTTTGTAAATGTGTGGGTAATGCTGAGATTCTAGACCAATGGTGAGTACTGGATCGAGGCGGCTTCCTGGACAATTTGATTGTCTTGGTTCCTGTCTGGGCTTTACCTTTTTCTGCCTAAGGCCATCCCAAACTGACTGGATGCAAGTGAGAATGACAAAAAAAAAAAAAAAAAAAAAAAAAAAAAAAAAAAAAAAAAAAAAAAAAAAAAAAAGGAGAGAGAATGACTGTCGGCAAGTGTGTAAGTAAATGAATTGGGTGATTCTGATCGCATATAAGTATGAAATTCAGAGTGTATGCAAGGGAGTGTTTGAATGAGGGTGGTGTGAGTGTCCGTGTGATTGGAAACATCATGTCACTGGGAAGGAAATTTCAGGGGGTAGGGAATGGGGTAAAATGAGGAGTGTTTCAAGGTGAATGTGTTTGAGTATGTGCTAGTTACTTGGGTTCGTGATGGTTCCCAGGAGGGGACATCGGGGGAATCCACGGCTCCTCCCGCCTCGCCGAATGCTCTCCCCACACCACTCCACACTGTTAAGACAGTTGACAGGAGCCTCAGAAGAAGCAAGGGACATCCTCACTCCTGAGCCGCTCCAGAGTCGCTTCTACTAGGAACTATAAAAGTCAAGGAGTGAAGACCACGCCCGGCTGCAGATCACCCCCAAGGCTACTCACCTTGTCATCCGCCATCTTCCCCGCCGAACTTGTTGCGCAGGCGCTGCCCCGCCTCCCTAGTGCCGACTACTTTGGCCATATTTACTGAGGGCGAAGGCACTTCCGGAGCACTTTTGTAAAGGGTGAGGTGCATTCCTAACAACCAAGCCCGCCTCGCCCAGATACTGCCACGTGATACTTCCACGTGACTCCGTCCATCGAGTCCCCGGCTACGCGTGAGCTGATTCTCTACCCGAGCGCGATGATCTCACTCGAGCGCGCGATGCATGTTCGTCTTGGCAGTCTTCGGGGCCTGATGAGCTCATAGTTGCGCGGTGGTGTCAGCGCGTTCGCTGGCGTTCGTGCGCCTCCCCCGGACTCACACACTGCACCACGCAGCCATTCGGGCTTCCAGACGCCTGTTTAGACGCACCACCCCTCGGCGGGCGGTGCAGCTCAGGACCGCCCCCAGGACCGGCCCATGTCCCGCCCAGTATTTGTACGGCGCCAGCTGGCCCGGCAGCCTTCGGTGCAGAGAGGCTGGGCTTGCAGGCGCAGCAGCTCCGGAGGTCACGCTGG